AGATGCAGGGACCTAACAGAAGCTGAAGAGATCAAGAGAAGGTGGCGAGACTATACAGAAGATCTGTATAGGAAGCATAATAATATTGAGGATAGTTTTGACGGTGTGGTGAATGAATTAGAACCAGACATCCTGAGGAGTGAGGTTGAATGGGCCTTAAGAAGCATTGCTAACAACAAGGCAGCAGGAGACGACGGGATCCCAGCTGAACTGTTTAAAATCTTGAAAGATGATGCTGTCAAGGTGATGCATGCCATATGCCAGCAAATATGGAAAACACAAGAATAGCCATCAGATTGGAAAAATACATACCAAAACAGGGAAACGCTAAAAAATGCTCAAATATTCATACAGTGGCGTTTATTTCACATGCCAGTAAGGTAATGATCAAGATCCTGCAAAGAAGACTCCAGCAATACATGGAGCGAGAGTTGCCAGATGTTCAAGCTGGGTTTAGAAAAGGCAGAGGAACGAGAGACCAGATTGCCAATATCCGCTGGATAATGGAGAAAGGCAGGGAGTTTCAGAAAAACATCTACTTCTGCTTCATTGACTATTCTAAAGCCTTTGACTGTGTGGATCATAATAAATTGTGGCAAGTTCTTAGTGGGATTGGCATCCCAAGCCACCTTGTCTCTCTCCTGAGGAATCTGTACAAGGACCAAGTAGCAACAGTAAGAACTGACCACGGCACAACAGACTGGTTCAAGATTGGGAAAGGCGTACGGCAAGGCTGCATCCTCTCACCCAACCTTTTTAACTTGTATGCAGAACACATCATGCGATGTGCGGGGCTTGATGAATGCAAAGCTGGGGTGAAAATTGTTGGAAGAAACATTAACAACCTCAGATATGCAGATGACACCACTCTGATGGCCGAAAGCGAGGAGGAGCTGAGGAGCCTTCTAATCAAGGTGAAAGAAGAAAGCGCAAAAGCCGGGTTGCAGCTAAACGTCAAAAAAACCAAGATTATGGCAACAAGAATGATTGCCAACTGGAAAATAGAGGGAGAAACCGTGGAGGCCGTGACAGACTTTGTATTTCTAGGTGCAAAGATTACTGCAGATGCAGACTGTGGCCAGGAAATCAGAAGACGCTTACTTCTTGGGAGGAGAGCAATGTCCAGTCTCGTTAAAATAGTAAAGAGTAGAGACATCAGACTGGCAACAAAGATCCGCCTAGTCAAAGCCATGGTATTCCCTGTAGTAACCTACGGATGTGAGAGCTGGACCTTAGGGAAGGCCGAGCAAAGGAATATCGATGCTTTTGAGCTGTGGTGTTGGAGGAAAGTTCTGAGAGTGCCTTGGACTGCGAGAAGATCCAACCAGTCCATCCTCCAGGAAATAAAGCTCGGCTGCTCACTGGAGGGAAGGATACTAGAGACAAAGTTGAAGTACTTTGGCCACATCATGAGGAGACAGGAAAGCCTAGAGAAGACAATTATGCTGGGGAAAGTGGACGGCAAAAGGAAGAGGGGCCGACCAAGGGCAAGATGGATGGATGGCATCCTTGAAGTGACTGGACTGACCTTGAAGGAGCTGGGGGTGGTGACGGCCGACTGGGAGCTCTGGCGTGGGCTGGTCCATGAGGTCACGAAGAGTCGGAGACGACTGAACGAATGAACAACATACTTGAGGATCCTCAGAATTCTGCTCTCCAACTAGTAGAAGTCAGTGTCATTGCTAGAGATGTGGGAGGCAGAACATCATGTAACCTTGCTATAATAATGTCACCATGCAAGTTATTTGTTCAGATCTCCAGCAAACTTGGACTGGAGGCCCACCAGATAGCAGGAAGAGAAAAAAAGTGGAGGAAAGGGAGGAGGGAATCAGGATGCAGCTCTTGACAGATGTAATGTGCACTATGTCCCTTGGCTGGAAAAAAACCTTGGTTACACAAATTTTCTTAATAGGCATGCAGAACTGACAGACAGAAGCAGCTGAAGGTTATTACGGTACATGTGCATTAAGAAAAAAACCCATTAAGTTTAATAGGGCTCCCTTTTTGGTTCTTTTCCATATACAGTGAACCCAGAGTGGTTTACAGACAAGGCACGCAATGCTTTCGTAACCCTTATTAAGGAAAAAAATAGAGTAACAACTATAGAATTAAACAGAATAATTATGGTCACTAAATGCAATGTGCAATACTCTTTGGCTTTATTAGTGAGCAGCAACCACATAGTTAGGCCCCTTGAAGAGCTGTCGTAGGAGGCAAGGAGAGGTTTAAATCCCAGTCCTCTGAATTAGAACAATATACTTTCTGCATACAGTATATACATAGGTTGGCCTCTATAGGAATCACAAAATGATTCAGTACAGATTTCTGTAAAGTTGCTGACTTAATTGTTTTGATTGCTGTGGGATTGCAAATTTGTTTGGCTTCTGTGCCTTTAAGAGCAGCCAGAAATTCAGATTGGTCCCAAAGACATGCACTGAACTGCTACTTGCGCAAAAACTTAGGGGACTTGTAGTTTGGTGAGGCAGCAGGTAATAGAGTTCTATGTTGTGACAATAAGAACAGAAGCAGAAAGTGTCCTTTGAAGCATTGTAGATCCAGATAGAAAAGGGCAAAACACCTTTGGCCAAGATAAAGTAACTGCACATAGCACAGCTTTAAGTACCTTATATGCTTTTGTAGAAGTCTAGAAATTTTAGTCAAAAAGTCAACCCAAAAAATCTGTGTTGAATTCTCCTTGAGTCAATAGGAGTACTGTATCTAAACTTATAAAAAAAAAACTCCACCTCTTTCTCTGAGTAGAGTAACAAAAGGCAAGAATTTGGTCCATCCTGGGAGAACCTAAAAAGAAGCACCAACCCCTTTATTCTCTTCATCACAGAGCTGCATCTGGACTTTTTGATTGCCTTGGTGGCAAAATGGCAGTGCTGGCCAGGAATGGAGGGCTCCTAAAACAGCATTAGTGCTTTTCCCTTTTCCATGGAATGACCCTTGACTTATCCAGGAGTCACATCAAAACATCTAATATTGGTTCCGTCCCATAATCTGTCCTCAATTGACTTCTATGAGTATATAAACAGAAATGTGATCAATCTCTGTGATATCCTCCCAAAAAGCATTGTTAAAATAAAGATAAGGATGGTATAAGCCTAGAACACTTTTTTGTTTAAGCTTATGAGTACTACACATTCTACAAAGTAGAGGGAGATTGCAAAGATACCTTATTATTCACAATTCCTTCTTCAGTCTCTCCAAAAATTTGATCTTCATCAAATGTTTGTGTATTCTCTTTCAAACAAAAAAATAACTGAAAAAAATAAAGATGCATTAATTTGAATTAAAATTGCCTTTTGTTTTTAATCAGTTTTAAGGATTTAGACTGTTACTTTTTAAATTAACCCCCATTGATGTTTAATTCTACTTTAATATTTGTATATTTTTAAAATTTTAAATTACATTTAAACGCTTTTAATGTAAGCTGTTTTGAATCTCCTTTGTAGAAAGAAAAAGTGGGTTCTGTAAAGATGAACAAGCACTATACCAATCTATACACATTTTTGTCATTAATCTTGTATTAAACAAAAATACACTAAAATGCTGCAGGAATATTATCTAAATACAATTGTTTTGTCTAAACCTGGTGTGGAAGTCATGCGGACTTCAAGATGTTTCTGGAATCCTACTCTAAGCATTCCTCATCGTTATAGGCAGTGCTATCTGTGGCTGATGGAAACTGGAATCAAACATCTGTAGGGCACAATCCCTGATGTAAATCTTTCCCAAATAATCTAGAGGAAATTTTTAAATTGCAAAGTATTTGATTTAAACAACATGTGTCAATATTGGCATGTATTTTTTTTCCACAGGTGTGTATACGTTAAGAAACATAAAATACTAAAATTACAAGGAAATAATATATGGTTTGAAATACCTTGACACAATCTATCAGCCATACCAATGCCGCTACAATCTGAGGCCACATATGTGGTGCCCCAACTGTATACATAGAGCTTTTTGACAATGGAAAGGGATATCTAGGGAAAGGGATAAGAAATGTTACAGTGAAGCATTTAAAAATTTGCAAAATACACAGAATTAACAGTTCTAGTTTTCAAGTTTAAAGCAACAATGCTTTTTTAATTAACTGTAGTTGGCTCTCTGTAGCCACAGATTTTTCATCCTAGGATTGAACCAACCATCCATACCTTAATTCAAAAAAATCCCAAACTCCTTAAAGCAAACCTTGATTTTGCCATTTTATATAAGGGACATCATTTTGGTATTTGGGTGTGTTTGTGTCCTGGAACCAAACCCAGTATATACCAATACTCTCTCTACATATCAAAATAAATAAAAAAGATATACATTTAGTACTGCAGAACTACAGTGTAGAAGAGTAGTAAGAGGAAATATATCTCAATTTATGATGGATATCTATGATGAAATAGGCAACTGTTGAGAGGAAAATAATGCCCATTTCTGTTAGGTGGTCTGTACTGATATAATAATTCCCTTTGAAGGATTTTTTTTTTGGGGGGGGGGGAGTTGTGAAGGTTCTGAGTTGAGGGCAACACTTTGGTAATCTCTGATCCAGGCTCATGGTACCTGTTTTCTCCGTTGACATGAACTGAATTAAATTAAATTCTAAAGAGTGAACCAAAAGATGATACTTCAATGCTGGATAGTCATTCCTTTTTTTGCTGAAAAGAATACTTATTATCCTGGTACATACCCAAGCTCTTTAAACATCTTTGGGATTTCTTCTTCAAACTTGGAACTAGAAAACTCATATGAAGGATAAATGAACTGATAAATGAAACTGAATATTTTAGTGAACTCTCTGACAGATGGTGCCTGGAGTAACTTGACACTTGCAGATGGGCCATAGTTGTATGCTAAAAGAAACTGAGAAAACAGAAAGATTTATTCTGTTATGTTTGACAAATTATCCAAATTAGAACAATCATACAGTTCATGAAATCTTAGTCGAGTTATCATACATGTTTTAAGTGTGTATATGAATAAAATTAATACTTTCAAAGAAAGTTACCATATACAGGCAGACCCAGAGTTATGAACATCCAACTTACAAATGACTCATAGTTAAGAACAGGAGTGTAACTCTGTGGGGGCATATACATATACATGCAGTTCTTGAGTTACACACATCCGACATACAAACAGTTTGAAAGTGAGAGAAATCTATCCCGAGGAAGGGAAATGCAGTTTTGAAAGAGTTATCATAGGGAAAAGGTGTTTCTACTTTGTAGCCCAATTTCAATGTGTTATATACTGCTGTTACTCCAGCTGTAGTTAAGAAATACAGGAATTCTACAGATGCATAAGAAGAAACTATTTACACTGGCATTTATTTATCGTATCAGAAGCGAACCAAGTGTACAGTTGTAATGTATTTAAAAAATACAAAGTTTAAAGACTTGGCACTGTATTAGATGTCCTTTGACCAGTAGCTGGCCACTTGAAGCACATCTGGTGTTGCTATAAGAAGGTCTTCCATTGTACATGTGGCAGTGCACAGACTGCATTGTAATAGGTGGTCTGTGGTTTGCTCTTCTCCACACTTGCATGTCGTGGACTCCACTTTGTGGCCCCATTTCTTAAGGTTGCCTCTGCATCTCATGGTGCCAGTGCGCAATCTGTTCAGCGCCTTCCAAGTTGCCCAGTCTTCTGTGTGCGCTCCCCTGGTCTCTCATTCAGTATCAGCCATGGCTTGAGGTTCCGGGTTTTAGCCTGCCATTTTCGGACTCTCACTTGCTGAGGTGTTTCTGTGAGTATCTCTGTAGATCTTAGAAAGCTGTTTCTTGATTTAAGGCATTGACATGCTGGTTAATATCCGAACAGGGGATGGGCCAGAGATGTCACTGCATTGGCCCTTTCATTATTGTCTGCTACTTCCCAGTGAATCTCTCACTCAGTATGGATTGAGGCTCCAGGTTCTAGCCTTCCTTTGGAGTCTTGCTTGCTGAGGTGTTCCCGCACATATCTCTGTAGATCTTAGAAAGCTATTTCTTGATTTAAGTTGTTGCCGTGCTGACTGATATCCGAATAGGGGATGGGCCAGAGATGTCACTATGTAATGCAGTTTTTGAATCAGCACCCCAAATAACCAAACCAAATCTAAAGTTGACCAAATACTGATTCATAACCTTTTTGGTACTAATGTTGGAGAGTGGTGGCTGGTCAGAGTGGTCCCTGGTCAAAAAAAGGTTGGGAACCACCGTGCTACATGGAGAAGCTCACTAACATTGCTACATAATATATTTTAATAATAATAACTTTATACCTCACCCCATCTCCTAACAAGGGGCTCGGAGCAGCTTCCAATCATTAAATAGACACATAAAACAACTGGGTGACATAATGAATTAGAACAAGCTAAGTATCAATGCATTAATGAAGGTGCTATGTCAGACCTGTCAAGTGACAATGTACCTAGAATTGGTAGATTTAGCATGTGTGAACAAATATTAAATAGCTAACACATTTTGGAATTGTTTGCCTTGTTATTTATTCAAAAAGTTTATATGCTAATTAATTATCTTGCCAGTAGATTTCTCTATGGGATTGTTTGGGAAAACCATTTTAACTAAACAAAATATATTAACTAATCAATCTAACCAACTAAAAACCCATTCCAACTGCAGTTCCATTCCAACTGCAAGCCATTTATTAGTGTTGCATACTTCACTGAGCTGACGGATACACTGCTGGACAAAGGCCTTATCATGAAGTGGCCTAGGATCCTTGATCTTCTCCATGATTCCAAATGCACCATGCTGGCTTTTTCGTAAGCTTCCAGGGCCACTGCTCCTAAAATTGAATCAGTAAGAAGACGATCCCAAGATTTAATGCATTCATAATTTTCAAATATGCAAATGAAACTGTATGTTACAAGAGCAAACAAGATTTAAACTTAAAGATGCCTATCACATGTAACATTACAATAGTCTAGCTAAGTAATTAATGTGTTATTTATTAAACAAATTTGAATTGCATTTATTTTATTTTAACCTTAAACCCACACAGTACTAGCTTTTTTTTAAAAAAAAAATGTATTTGTTTTGTTTTAAAACCATGATCAGATTGTGTGGTTGTCAGCTGGGGAGAAAGGCAGGGTATAAATAAAGTAAATAACAAAAACAATCAATAATGTGGGGCTTTCTTGGTTTTAAGAGTCCATCGTGCCTCTTTCAGCTGAAGGAGTACTATGCTGTCTTTCTCTACCCTGAAAAAAAGATAAGGTAAAACAGAATTCTTACAGCTCTAAATGATACATATTTTCATTGCATTTCCTCTAACTGGTCCTTCCAAGCATAGACAAAAAATGGCACTGCAGTTATTGAGACTGCAATAAAAACTGCAGTTAATAAGGAGCCACAGCTGTTCAAATCCACAAGACGGGACAAGCTCCTGTCTGTCAGCTCCAGCTCTTGCCAACCCAGCAAAAACATGCAAATGTGAGTAGATAAATAGGTACTGCTTCAGCGGGAAAAGGCAAAGAGATGCTCCAAGCAATCTTGCCAGCCACACAACCAGGTGACAACGCAAGGCTCCTCGGCTTGAAAATAGTGAAAAAGCACCTTCCTGAGCCAGAGATGAGCACCACCTCCAGAAACCGGAAATGAAAGGAGAAGCCTCAACCTTTGTTTGTGTTCGTATGTCTCATTGTATATTATTGTAAAGGCACTGAATGTTTTGTCTATATATGTAAATGCTGTAATCCACTGAGTCTCCTAGGGGAGAAGTGCAGAATATAAATAAAGAGTAAATAGCAAAATATAAATAATTTGTCAAGGTCTGTGAGGTATATGCATTTTATGTATTACAGTTAATGTACTAAATTACCTTTTGCCAAAAGCACTAGTTCTCCTTTCTGATGTAGGTAGGGTACTCTGCCCAACACTGTACTTGCCAAAGGTTGTCCTCCTTTCTTGCCTTGAAAATAATAGAAATTATAAAATGAACAACACAAATTAAATGTTATTTATAGATCCATCTGCTATTTCTATCTATCTCTAATAAAGATTTTATTGCTGGTATATATGCATCCATTTATTTTTCCTTTTGCTATGACCTATTCCCATTATATACATGCATGCGCATACTTCATTCCCACAACACAAGGTCTGTTTTAAAACTTGGTGATATATAAAATGTCTTTAAAAATCACAGCAGCAGCAAAGCTGTCCTCTCTTTCTTCAAAATCTATACTTTTGAAGATGGAATATAAAGTCCTCTAGCACATTTAAGACTTTTGTATCTTTTGTGGACTAAGCATCACAATATCATTAAATTGTCAGTCCTACATGTGCCCCTGGACTTTGCTTTTGCTTGATACAACTACCGCTTAGGAAAAATAAAGTATATTACATTTGGGGTGTATGAAGTCCTGCCTTATTGGCATCTGGCACCCTGTGAGGCTGGATGGACTGCCGGGAGCTGGTGCGGCGTGTACTAGCGCTACTCTTCATTGTTGATGGGGTGAACTGCAAGGATGCCTTCTGTCAGCAGCTGGTGTAGAGGAAGCAGAGAAGCTTGCTCTGGCACTTCCTCCTCGAACCCACGGACACTAAACTGGATGAACCATTGAAGCAAATTGAGCTGCTAGACAACCTGGGGGTGAGAGAAGAAAAAGGCTTGAAACACCTGAGGGAGAGTGAACCAGGGAACAATCAGTAATGTCTGAGGTCTTGAGAAGTTGGGGTTCCATCCTACTCACACTTTGGGACCAAGAAGGGTTTCTATGAGGGGCATTGCTCAGTTTTGTCAGACAATGAGGGAACAACTTTCTTTGAAGCTATAACCCTATTTAATGGAATTATAAAGTTAGAAGAGACTACAAAAAGTCCAACCCTCTGACATGCAGCAATACACAATCAAAACACTCCCAACAGATGACCTTCCAGTCTCTGCTTTAAAAACTCCAGAGACAGAGATTCCACCACACTCTGAAGCAGCATATTCCATTCCTACTGTTTCAGAGGAATCTTTTTCCTGCCATTTGACCCCATTGCTCTGTTGTGTCCTAGTCTCACGAGGAGCAGAAAACAAGCTTGTCCACTCCACAATATGACATCCTTTCAGATAACATAGCTATCATATCTCCTCTTGGCTTTCTTTTTTCTAAGTTAAACATACACAACTTCCTCAGCAACTCCTCCTATTTGATCACAGTGAGACTTTTGACAAGCTGGAATAGCTTGTCCATGACCTACAGAAGAAAAATCCTGGGCCGATAAGCAATCCCTCCTCAAATGCCTGCTCCACATTTGATGTGCTTTCAGAACCCTACTTTACCTACTATTTTAGTCCAGGGTGGGGCCTTCTTTCCTAGCTGTAAGTTATGGCCCAGTGCCCCCATGGGGAAGGAAGTGGGTAACAACATTGCTGGGTTGGAAATATGAAATTTGCTGAATGTCTTTGATAGCCGAAACCAGAACAGGAAGACCAACTCCCTCCCTTCCATGCATAATCTAACAGTCAAAAGAACCAAACTAAAGTGGAAGGCATAAAAGAGTTCTTACTCACAGCTTGCACATAATCAGACACAGGTTCAGCTTCTTAAGGTAAGGTGACAGAAAAACAGAGCTCTTTATATTGTATTTCTTTAGTTGTAAGACACATTTTCTTCCCCCATATAAACATCTCTAAAAATGGGGTGTGCCTCTATGGAGACATATACAGGCAGTCCCCGAGTTACATCTGGCGTACAAATGACTCATGGTTAAGAATGGGGGTGAGACAACAGGAAATGAGAGAAATTCACTCCCGAAAGAGTTTATCATGGAGAAAAGCAGTCTCCACTTTGTCACCAATCCTGAACTGAAAAGCAGTCTCCACTTTGTCACCAATTCTTGTTTCCACAACAAGTCACATTTTCCAAAGGGTGTTGAATCTCAGCTAGAGTTCACTTTGCTCAAGCACTCACCAGGAAGCCAAGTGTAGTAATAAACAGATAAAGCACACATAGTAAAAGAATAAAAAAATCCAAATATATAAAGGGAGAAAGAGTCCCAAAAACCAGAGATAAATCTCCAATGCAAAGGTTAAAGCATGAATATGAATCCAAGGTGCATGGAACAAACATGAGCTTAATTAATACAACAGACAAGGAATAAAACATGAGATTGAGTAGTTCAAGAAACAAAGAACAAAACATGAGTTTGAGTCCATGGTAAAATTTCCAAGACTGGTAGCAAAACTTGACTAGGAAATTTGGCTTAAAGCTAAGATAGGACCAGGAACAAGGCAGGAGCTTCTTGCTCTATTTGATATGTTGCTTGATCTGAGAGCTATTCTTTCCCTAATTAAGGACAGCAATGTACGAAATAATTCCGTTGGCCTTGAGGAGTCTCTCTTGGCCTCTGCCTCCCTTTCCCATTGCTCAGCTTGCAAGGAGCAGCCTTGATTCTCTGTCCAGCCCCACTTCCTCGGGTGAGCTCATGTGTCCTCCTCCCTTCTCTGCCTGTCAGCTTCTAAAACAGTTTTGTTTTCACACAGAGAATTAACCAAATCCCCCTCCATTCTCCCAACCAGGAAATCACCATTCTGTTCCAACATCCCATCTGTCTGAGCACCTCCATAAGCATCAGGCCTCACAGGCCCTGCAGCCTCAAACCCCTCATCATCATCCTCAGCTGGCTGAACTACAACTCAGGGACAGAAAGTGAAGTGAAATCTTCTGAACATGGGCACAGACAGAACGGGGGTGTTAACCGTTTCCTATGCTATCCAAAGGTAACTACAGTAGAGTCTCGCTTATCCAACATAAGTGGGCTGGCAGAATGTTGAATAAGTGAACATGTTGGATAATAAGGAGGGATTAAGGAAAAGCCTATAAAATGTCAAATTACGTTATGATTTTACAAATTAAGCATCAACGCATCATGTTTTACAACAAATTGACAGAAAAAGCAGTTCAATACACAGTAATGTTATGCAGTAATAACTGCATTTACAAATTTAGCACCAAAACATTGCAATGTATTGAAACAGCTGTGGATCTGGGCAGGAGCAGACTGCATTGGATAATACAGAACGTTGGAGGAGTGACTCTACAGCAGTGGTTCTCAACCTAAGGTCCCCAGATGTTTTTGGCCTACAACTCCCGGAAATCCCAGCCAGTTTACCAGCTGTTAGGATTTCTGGGAGTTGTAGGCAAAAAACATCTGGGGACCCCAGGTTGAGAACCACTGCTCTACTGTGTGTGTACACATATATATGACTGGAGTTACACTTTAAAATGTCCTTGTTCTGTCTAACAAACACATTCAGTTTAAGAACAAACGTATAAAGCCTATCTTGTTTGTAACTTGGGATCTGCCTGTAGTTATCAGGAAGGGAAGGGTGCCTCATGGAAGAGGGTGAGAGTAACACAAGGATGAGCAGGCAAGTTGGTGAAGCCCCAGGAAAAAAAGGTGGATAGAATAACAGAGTTGGAAGAGACCTCATGGGCCATCCAATCCAACCCTCTGACAAGAAGCAGGAAAATCGCATACAAAGTACGCCCGACAGATCCAGCCTTTGGTTAAAAGCCTCCAAAGAAGCATCCTCCACCACACTCCGGGGCAGAGAGTTCCACTGCTGAACAGCTCTCACAGTTAAGTTCTTCCTAATGTTCAGGTGGAATCTCCTTTCCTGTAGTTTGAAGCCATTGTTCCACGTCCTAGTCTCCAGGGAAGCAGAAAACAAGCTTGCTCCCTCCCTATGACTTCCCCTCACATATTTATACATGGGTTATTGTAGGTTTTTTCGGGCTATATGGCCATGTTCTAGAGGCATTCAGCAGAGAATGCCTCTAGAACAGGGGTCCTCAAACTAAGGCCCGGGGGCCGGATGCAGCCCTCCAAGGTCATTTACCTGGCCCTTGCTCTGGGTCAACCTAAGTATGAAACTACTTGAAAGCACACAATAACAACAATAATCCTATCTCATCAGCCAAAAGCAGACCCACACTTTCCATTGAAATACTAATAAGTTTACATTTGTTAAAATTGTTCTTAATTTTAATTATTGTATTGTTTTTATATATTTTTTGCACTACAAATAAGGTATTTGCAGTGCGCATAGGAATTAATTCGTGTTTTTTTCGAATTATAATTCGGCCCGCCAACAGTTTGAGGGACTGTGACCTGGCCCCCTGTTTAAAAAGTTTGTGGACCCCTGCTCTAGAACATGGCCATATAGCCTGAAAAAATCTACAACCACCCAGTGATTCCGGCCATGAAAGCCTTCGACAGTATATTTATACATGGCCATCATGTCTCCTCTCAGCCTTCTGTTATGCAGGCTAAACATGGCCAGCTCTTTCATCAATTTCACAACAATTTCAAGGTGAAAGAAGGCTCTTTCAGCCGCTCCTCATAAGGCTTGTTCTCCAGACCCTTGATCATTTTAGTCGCCCTCCTCTGGACACATTCCAGATTATCAACATCTCTTTTCAATTGTGGTGGAAGGGAAGGAAGGGAAGGAGGAAGGAAAGAGAGAAGCAAGGATGGGATGGTGAGACTTAGGAGGGCCCGAGAAAAGAGCCCAAGGAGCCGCATCTGGGCCCGGTCCTGGGGTTGCCCATTCCTGTTCTATAGCATGGCTGTGAAGAAGAGAAAGAGCCCCAACCTTTGAGACTGGGAATAGGGAACGCAGCGAGGAAGGGGGAGGCCAGGCATTACAAGAGCGATCCGCCACTATCACCTTTTTTTCTTTCCTGCGGAGGTAGAACTGAGGAGGAAAAGGAGGCCTCTCCTCCAGAGCTTCGCTTCTTTTCAAAGTCGCCCGCCAACAGACGTCACTGGCCACGCCCCCTCGCCAACAGAAACCCAGCGACTATACTACTTCCGCCAGAGACAGGAAGTTAGCCCTGGAGGTTTACATTAAAACCTGGGGAACTCTATGATCGTCTCAGTTTAGCGATCGAAGGGGAGCGATGACGCGTCGGGGGCACGTGACACGGCGCACGACTGATGTAAGGTACAACCAGAAGCCATGTGCAGACTCTCTGGCCAAGGAGGCGCCAAGAGCGTCCTGTCAAGTGGTTCTCTCTCTCTCTCTCTCTCTCTCTGGAGGGAGACAACAGGCCCGAGTGACCTAAAGGCACCCGCAGCTCTCTGATCTTGGAAGCTAAGTGGGGTCAGCCCTGGTTAGGACTCGGGTGGGAGACCTCCGACAAACATCATAGTTTCTTGTGGGTTTTTTCGGGCTATAGAGCCATGTTCTAGAGGCATTTCTCCTGACGTTTCGCCTGAATCTATGGCAAGCATCCTCAGAGGTAGTGAGGTCTGTTGGAATTAGGACAATGGGTTTATATATCTGTGGAATGGCTGGGGTGGGGCAAAGAGCTCTTCTCTGCTGGAGCTAGGTGTGAATGTTTCACCTGATCACCTTCATTAGCATTTGAAGGCCTTCCTGAGCCTGGGAAAATCTCCTGCCGAGAGGTGTTAAGATGTGCCCGGTTGTTTCCTCTCTGTTGTTTTGCTGTTGTAATCTTAGAGTTTTTTAATACTGGTAGCCAGATTTTGTTCATTTTCAGGGGTCTCTTCCTTTCTGTTGAAATGGTCCACATGCTTGTGGATTTCAATGGCTTCTCTGTGTAGTCAACAACCACCTGGTTCCTGGGAGAAAAAAAAACTACACAGAGAAGCCATTGAAATCCACAAGCATGTGGACAATTTCAACAGAAAGGAAGAAACCATGAAAATGAACAAAATCTGGCTACCAGTATTTAAAAAACTCTAAAATTACAACAGCAAAACAACAGAGAGGAAACAACCAGGCACAGATTAACACCTCCCAGGAAGAGATTTTCCCAGGCTCAGGCAGGCCTTCAAATGCTAATGAAGGTGATCAGTTGAAACATTCACACCTAACTGCAGCAGGAAAGAGCTCCTTGCCCCACCCCAGCCATTCCACAGATATATAAACCCATTGTCCTAAATCCAACAGACCTCACTACCTCTGAGGATGCTTGCCATAGATGCAGGCGAAACGTCAGGAGAAATGCCTCTAGAACATGGCTCTATAGCCCGAAAAAACCCACAAGAACCTAGTGATTCCAGCCATGAAAGCCTTCGACAATACATTAAACATCATAGTTCTGCAAGCTGTATTTTAGGAAGGCAAAGCCACACCTCCGAGCCTTCGTTGCCTAAGAAAGCCCTATGAAGTAAGATAGCAGCTAAGCTAAGCTAAATGAGGTTTGTTGCATATAAACAATTCCAAATAAAGGTAAAGGGTGACTGACATTCCTGACATCCAATCTAGTCGTGTCCGACTCTGGGGGGTGGTGCACATCTCTAAGCTGAAGAGCCGGCGTTGTCTGTAGACACCTTCCAGGTCATGTGGCCAGCATGACTGCATGGAGCGCCATTACTTTCCCTCAGAAGCAGTGCCTATTGATCTACTCACATTTGTATGCTTTTGAACTGCTATGTTGGCAAAAGCTGGGCCTAATCCACTCCCTGGAAAGTGGAAGGCAAAAGGAAGAGGGGCTGACCAAGGGCAAGATGGATGGATGGCATCCTTGAAGTGACTGGACTGACCTTGAAGGAGCTGGGGGTGGTGACGGCCGACAGGGAGCTCTGGCGTGGGCTGGTCCATGAGGTCACGAAGAGTCGGAGGCGACTGAACGAATGAACAACAACAACAATCCATTCCCTGGATTCGAACCACCACCAATAACAACAACAACACTTTATTTATATTCCGCCCTTCTCACCCCAAAGGGGACTCAGGGCGGATCACAGTACACATACATGGCAAGCATTCAATAATAATAATAATAATAATAATAAACTTTATTTATACCCTGCCACCATCTCCCCAATGGGGACTCAGAGTGGTTACATGGGCCCAAGCCCAAACAAGAATTACAATATAGCAATACAAATTGCAATAAAATAAACAACATAACATTAAAATAAAACATCAAAGCATATAAAACAATATACACAGAACAAAGGAACTAAACATAATAACAGAATGACAGAGGGTGGGCCGCATGTACATAAAATGATTTTAAAACTCCGGGTGAGATAAGGGGACAGAACTAATTGTAAGGGAGAACTCTTAGAGATAGGAAAATAAGTAAACCTTCATACATGGGGGAGGAGGGACTCCTGGGACAAGCACATTGGGGAAGCACTAGCATAAAATTATGTGGCTACTGTCCGAAAGCGCAACAGAAGAGCCAGGTCTTGAGACTCTTTTTAAAAGTTTCCAAGGTAGGAGCTTTCCTGATCTCTCCGGGAAATAGACAATACACAGACAGAACAGAAAGAGGTGCCATGGAAGGATGGGCTCGAGTCCAAGGGGTTCTGTTGCTCCATCCTCCATGACGAAGAACCGTCAGGACTTCCTCCTTCCTTTTGGTCGTCCAGCATTTTCTGATCTTCTTTCTTTATGGCGTTGTAAAACACCTCCCCTGCTTTTAGCGGTACCTAATATCTCTAATCACAGTTAAAGCTGTTTTAGAATTGCTTAGGTAAGCAATGAGCTAGACTGACAGTTGGCAGCTCACACCAACTCAGGGCTTTGAACTTGCAACCTTTTGGTTGATAGATCTTATAATTGCTGATGGTTTACCAGCTGTGCTAAACCTCCGGCCCTTTCGGTCAGCAAGTTCAGGAGCTCAGCAGTTTAATCCGCTGCACCACCGGGGGCTTTAAATAAAGGCATAGCAACACATTTTGCTGCAACAAACTAACACTGCTATCGTTTTCTGTAATAAATGTTGCAGCAGAATAATTTGTAATTTACAAGATACAATGTATTGTCGAAGGAACAGTTTCTCCCCGAAGATACACCTGAAACACTTAAATCTGCGCTATCTTTATATAACGACCCTTCCACACAGCCCCATATCTCAGAATATCAAGGCAGAAAATCCCACATTATCTGTGTGTGGACTCAGATAACCCAGTTCAAAGCAGATATTGTAGGATTTACTGCTTTGACATTCTGGGATGTAGGGCTGTGTGGAAGGGCCCTGAGTTGCTTTTGGTAGTGTGGAAGGACACCTTAGGGGCCTTCCACACAGCCCTATAACCCAGAATATCAAGGCAGAAAATCCCACAATATCTGCTTTGAACTGGGTTATCTGAGTCCAGACTGCCATATATTCCAGTTCAAAGCAAATAATGTGGGATTTTATTCAGCTGTGTGGAAGATGTCTCAGAGACCAACAGGAGCAAAAACTGGGGGTACCAACAGCTGTGGAGAGCAGTTCAAACCACATCTGACTAATCAATAAAGTCTGGAAAGGATTTAAGACAGTGGTTCTCAACATCTGGGTCCTCAGATGTTTTGGCTTTCAACTCCCAGAAATCCTAACATGAATTGCTGTTTGTGTTAACTGATGGTATTGTCTTTTGCTGTTATGTGATGTGGGCATCGAATTGTGCCTTGCTTTTGTAAGCTGCCCTGAGTTGTCTCCCCCGAGGTGAGAAGGGCAGGGTAAAAGCAACCGAAATAAATAAATAATAAATAACATCTGGTAAACTGGCTGTTATTTCTGGGAGTTGTAGGCCAAAACACCTGGGGACCCAAAGGTTGGAACCACTGATTTAAGATGACAGGTTTAGATTTAAAATGGTTCCTGTATAGACAGGACTGGGAATTACGGGTCCTCTGAATGTTGCTGAACTATATACACTATCCCTGACCGTTGGTGGTTTTGATTTTGAAAGATGTGACTTGAAACCGACAACATCCTCCAAGTGACAGGTTTTCATTCTACCTGTGAAAATATAGGAAGAGCTTATGTAATGGGATTACACAAAGCCTAGGATATTAAAATTGAATGTGTGCTGTATGTCAGTTTCCTGGAAGAGAACCCAAGGGCCATCCAGTTCAACTCCCTGCCATTCAGGATAAACACAATCAAAGTACCCCCAATAGATGGCAATCCAACCTCTGATTAAAACCTCCAGAGGAGATTCCACGCTGCTGTGAGGCAGCATAAGTGAATCAACTACAGTTTCAAAGATTTTTAAATTAAAGTGTTTCAAAATTTTTCAACAATACACTGTGACTTTATCTGTTTTGAGCTGCATTCATAACCATAATGCATAGGTCCCATTGGACATTGTGGGATGGGGTTGATGAGCTTTAAATGTAATTTCAATTGCATGTATTTTATTTTAACTGCGTTTTAACTTTATATCCACCCACAAATATTTAATTTTTGATTTTTTTGGTATTGCTCTTATTTTAAATGTTATTGGGTTGTTATGTGTTATCTGCCTTGGGTCTCTGTGGGGAGAAAAGCAGGATAGAAATAAAATCCTTTTTGTGTGTGTCAGCAGATCTGATCTCCCTAGGGAGGGCGTTCCATAGCCGAGGGGCCACCACTGAGAAGGCCCTGTCTCTCATCCCCGCCAAACGTGCTTGTGACGAAGGTGGGACCAAGAGCAGGGCCTCCCCAGATGATCTTAAAGTCCTCAGTGGTTCATAAGGGGAGATACGTTCAGACAGGTAAGTTGGACCAGAACCGTTTAGCCCATTGTGCCACCAGGGTCTCCGAAATAAAGTTAATAAAATGCATAGGATTGTTTTTCAGATAACAGTACATGTTGGTCAAAATAATGATAAACTATTACAGTGTTGTAACACTCATTTTTGTTTGTTTTCAGGAGAATATTGACTTAATCATATTTTACACCAAGTTGGAATAATGTCTTGAAAAACAGACAATGTCTGTTGTGTGTAGTCTGCCAGCTGGGTGGTTACTGGACCACCTCTCCTTCATAAACAAGTCTGGCTACCAATTGAGTCATTCCCAAGACTCCTCTGGCTGGGTCTCTTCGAATGATGCAGTCAGTGCTGCTTCCACAGATGTGGATGTTACTGGGACCACAAACCTGGATATTGCAAGTTCTAGTAGAAAATATCCTATTTCTGAGATAAAGGCTTTGGGCAAAGAAGCATCTCAAAAAACATATGTGTTCCGGGAAGAATTATTTAATGTGCTGAAGCCCCATATATCTGTAAACCTTCAAACAGAATTGCAGCAAGGGATTTCTGAGGCCAATCTAGAAAATGATGGATCAGTACCACATGAAAAAGCCAAGAATGAGGAATCCCAAGTCTTTACAGTTAAAGCTAAAAAGGTACAAATCGAGAGAGACATTGCTGCAATCTTTTCTTGTTGTAGTGTCCTGTCACTAATTTATTTTTGAAAGAAAAATAACATTTCTTACAAATTTTAATGAATTAGGTATAGACTATTTGTGGATCTCTGTGGCCTACCTTTACTTGGCCATTCTGCTGGTATATGCTGGCAGAATGTATTAAACAATACACCAAATAACACAGCTTCCTACTAATATGGATGTATATTTTCTTATTTTTGGAGAACTCCAGAATATTTTTGGCTTCTTTTCTCCCATGCTATTCTAACAGTCACTAGCCTTACTTAGTAACTTGATAAAAATTACTGTGTTTGTGAGCTTATTATCCTGCTGGTCCACTGATGTTACCAAATGGCAATTTTGGAAGGAAATTTAAATACAAAGATTTGACACACAATGTTGTATTAATGTTTCCATGACAACTGTAAAGTGTTAGCACTTTGCAGGCACAATAGTTACAAGGCTAATTCATTTTTAGTGTTTACATTTAATGCTTATTTATTTTAATAGAGTTATTGCTTTTGGTTAATAGCATTTATTCTAGCACAAAAACAAAGAGGATATGTAAGTTATATGGACATTACTGTTATAAGAGCTCCACTGAAATGAAGGTCACACAACTGTTCTTTTTCAGTAAAAGTCATACTTAATTATGAAAATAGATGTAACAAAAGTGAATCATGCTTTCCACTCATGGCTTTAAAACCCCATTCTTTCCTGCCACAACAATAAGAATGCGAAGTGGCACTTAAGCAAGAAATTCAGAACAACCTTCATAAGAAGTCTTTATCACAAAATGCTATAAGCTGTCCTTTTATTATTATTTTTAAAGGAGAAATTGATATTTTACTAAGTTGTTATATACTTTTCCTTTAACATTTATCATTATTGAAATGTAAATAGAAGCTTTCAGGCTTTGGTCTTACTTCTCCCTTCTTGATATTTCCAATTTTTAAAAAAATGTTTAAAATCTGAGGACAGTGAATATTTTTTTCTGAATCTTTTTCTTGTAAAGCACCCTTTATAGTGATGATGTTTTCTAAATTGGATGATAATAACACTAATAACATTCAGGCAGCTTTACCCATTTCATTTTCCTGTTTACATTGTGTAATCAAAAACAAAATCCAAATCCCATATTGCTGTTTTACCTTTCTCCTCATTTTCCCTTTCTACCAGCTATAATTCACCTTTTTTCTCCTGATGACCATTTTAGTGTTGCACCAGTGTACAAAAAACACCCATATTATGCTTAAGACCCATCTAATTCAGTCTTCCTCGTCTATGGTTTATCCCATGTTAGCTTGGACTATATATAGCCCAGAACCCTTGGAGGGCAACAGGTTAAAGAAGCCTGTTTTAACCCAGCATCCTCTTCTGCAGCAATTGCCTGCCTGTGGTGAAGAACATGATAACCTGCCTTTGCTGTTGCTCCCAGCATTTCACATACTGCCTCTCAACATGGTTGCTTCATAACGAACAAAGACTCTATCTCCTCATTACTTTATATAAAACATACTTTAAAAGGTTATATATGCTAGTAGCCACCACCCTTGTGTGTCATAGTGAATATAAAAAACTAACTATGCTTTTCAAAAACTAGAATTTTCGGTATCCAGAAATTACAACTGGTCCATTTCATTGAATAGCTCAAGGTTGTGGTATTTGAGAGGGAATGAAAATGTTCTATTCCATTCATAGAATAATAGTGTTGGACAGGCCCGTAGCCAGGATTTTGATTCGGTGGGTGCTGAGTTTGATTCGGGGGTGGGGGGTGGGTGGGCTGAGGATCTACCCTAGCAAACCTTTTGTATCGTTATCCCAATAGCCCCATGCATATGGGATATATTGAGCATGGTGATCAGATCATGATATGAATAAACATAACAGTTTAAATAATGTACCAATAAGGCCTTCCCGCGGACCACCCTGAGCAGAGATTGGAATTCTGGTCTTCTGAAGTTAAGTTGAATATTCAAACCAACATTCTCAGATCTCAATTTTTATATGTTTTCTTCTTTAGAAACGGAAAAGAAGCAGTGAATTGAACCATGGTGAGCGTGATGCTTTGGAATACCATTTAAAGGTAACTCTGAAGAATAACTTCCGCCAACCTAGCAGTTCAAAAACATGTAAAGTGTGAGTAGATCAATAGGTACCACTTCTGTGGCAAGGTAACGGCGCTCCATGCAGTTGTGCTGGCCACATGACCTTGGAAGTGTCTACAGACAATGCCAGTTCTTTGGCTTAGAAAACGAGATGAGCACACACCCCTCCCCCGAGTCAGACACAACTAGACTTAATGTCAGGGAAAACTTTTACCTTTACTACTAAAGAAAAAGTGAGGGCTGAGACTAAATTACCCATACCTCATTGCATAATGGTCACCATGGCATACAAGTCACACCCCTATTTCGGAGGTGACAAAATTTGGTATTTTTGCTGTTCCTTGCATAATAGTCACAACCTGTATTCACTAGCCTGTGAGCCTTCCTCACATAACTGGGTTTTTTTCACCACCTAATAGGTACCACCAAAAAAGGGAGTGTGACTGTTACACAGTGAAATACAGTACTTCACTTCAAGTCCTCTCATGTCATAGAATTGCATTGGAGAACTTTTTTCTTTCTCTAGGTTTCCTGTTTAAGAGCTCATCTACACTGCCATATAATACAATCTGAGACTCATATAATACATTTTAATGGAATTATGTATTGCATTATGAGTTTGTACCAGGGGTCCCTAAACTAAGGATGCAGCCCTCCAAGGTCATTTCCATGTCTCCTGCCCTACACCTCTAGACTTAAGTTTGCCCTAAGTCTGAAAGGACTTGAAGGTGCACAACAAAAACAATCCTAATTAACTTGATTATCTCATCAACCAAAAGCAGACCCCCTTGAAATTTCCCCTTGAAATACTGGTAAGCTTGTGTTAATTAAAATTGTTCTTCATTTTAAATACCACTCTTTTTTTTTTTTTGCACTACAAACAAGATACATGCAGTGTGCATAGAAATTGGTTCATTTTTTTTTTTCAAACTATAGTCTGCCTTCCTCCCAGGGGCCCTCAGCTTTAAAAGTTCGATGACCCCTGGTCTATGCTAAATATATAATTCAGTTTTATGTATTGTCGAAGGCTTTCATGGCCGGAATCACTGGGTTGTTGTAGGTTTTTTCGGGCTATATGGCCATGTTCTAGTGGCATTTCGCCTAACGTTTCGCCTGCATCTATGGCAAGCATCTTCACTACCTCTGAGGATGCTTGCCATAGATGCAGGTGAAACGTTAGGAGAGAATGCCTCTAGATCATGGCCATATAGCCCAAAAAAACCCTACAACAAACCAATGCAGTTTTAATTTGCACTATAAGGCAGGATAGATGGGCACCCAAGAACTTGTTAGGTCCTCCAACACAACTCTATTGTAACATATGGGTGAAACACACCATAGAATTATCGGGGACCTAGAAAATACCTAGAGAGACCAATTTCCCCATGGCACTGGCAATTGTGGATATAGATTTCGTTGTTATTTGGGAGCGGGGGGTGTGCCTTACTGTAATGTGTATAGGTAAAGCCTGTAATCTTTTCTGAAACAATTAACTATTTTACCTAGGGAGAAATAAGTATGCATGTTTGTGTATTGTACTAATTTCTTCTTCGATTTTTTTAAAAATAGAATCTTAGAACAAATTACTGAATGGAAGTAGTTGGCCACTGTAACTCTCCAGGGATTTTTGGCTTCCATCTTCCATCAGCCTTCAGCTGGTGGTGAGGAATTGTTGGAAGTGAAGTCCAAGAGCCTTTGATGGGCTACCATTGCTCACCCCTATTGAATGTGCTGTCTGTAATTAAATACAGTTGTCTTATATACAAATTGCATATCCAAGAATATGCAAATATTTCTAGAATTGATTTTTTTACAGACAATTTGCTTCCTCTATTTTCCTTTCCCCTCTTTTCATACCATACAGATCAGTGGTGTGATTTTGGATGGTACAAAGAGTTTGGTTCAGGAGGCTCTCAGAAGTGGCTTCCTGTGGTCTGCTTCCAGACAACAGTTTCATGCCAAGACGCTTGTTGCAGGACACCACGACTGTAGTTTAGCTGAATTATGTGAGATGGCAAAGCAGTTTCATCCAGTGAATGAAGATGAGCAAAGAACTCAATGCAGAATCAATGACGGAGGCTGTCTTCCACAAGTTCAGCTTTCCTATGTTACAGAAAATACCACAAACTATGCAAAGATTATAACGCTAATGGGCGAGAAGTATCTGTTTCCTCCCAAAAGTGCATTTCTTTTGTCTGATGTTTCCGTTATGCAGCCTCTTTTGGACTGTAAGTACATTTCCTATTAACATTGTACAATGTTCTCTGATTCATTAATGACTCATTAGTACACTGACAGAGCAAATTTGTGTACCCTTTTTGAAGACTTCTTGATGAGATTTAAGGAGAATTTGACAGTCAGCTACCATTCCTGGAGCTGAATGTGGATTTTATTTATATTTTATTTGAAGTCCATCTTATATGGCAGTCTTTTAACTTCTGCTGTCTCTGTTGCTGCCACATGCAATGTAAGATATTGAAAAAAATCTTAATAAACCAGATGTAGTACACGGTGAATCTGAAAATTAAATAACATCAGTTTAATTTAAAAAGGTATATTTTTATGTATAATGAGATTCCTTAGTATACATTTAAGTAGAGAAATTGTAGTAGTGAAATTAGTTCGTTCCTGTTTTCAAAGGGGACTCATTTCTTTTTTTGTGGGGGGGGGGGAGTAATCAGATTTGGTATTTTAAGATTTGAGAAGTAACTGCACAAATTTAAATATAGTGGTTTCTGAAAAATATTTCTCTTGTTTCCTTTCTAGATAAAAAAAAGTTTGGCATCATTGTGATTGATCCGCCATGGGAGAATAAATCTGTTAAAAGAAGTAATAGGTAGGCTTCAGTATTAAAAACTGAAACAAAACATACATATGTATATGTTCAGCATTTTCCTTCAGATATTAATGATGTAACTTTGTGTTATTTCCACACAGACTGACAATTTGTGACTCTAATAATGAAATAAAGGAGTTATAGACTTTTTAAAATCAAGGTCATTCCATGCCAAGTGGTCTAAACCTTCCCACCATCACGTCTCCAATTTTGTTCAAATTTTAGCTGTAGCGCCAGTCATGTGTTATACTAGATTTCCCAGAATTTGAGGTCTTTGACTGCTGTAGTTGCTGATCTAGTCCATACCTTTGTTTGCATTGAAATTGTTTCAGTCTGAATATTGGTCAAAATTTGTCGTGACACATTTTGATGCACACTTTGATATAACTTGTTTGAATGGATTTTACATCCATAATGTTAGAATTAATTCCTTCAGAATCAGCAGAAAAACTATACAGGATTGCAATTTACTAGTCATTCTTATGCATTTAGTTTCAGTTTTAACAACATTTAACAAAAATCTCATTTTGTTAAATGTTGTGCGCATGCTGACTGACTACCCTTCAGATAAGGGGGTCTAGATCAGCAACTATTGCAGTTAGAATCCTCAAATTTTGGGAAACTTAGTTTAACACCTAACTGGCACTACAGCCAAAATTTGAACAAAATTGGAGAACATGATGGTGGGAACTTTAAAATTTTTTAGACCACTTGGCATGGAATGACCCAAACTGGAGACCATTGCAGTCTTGAGATGAGTCCCAAAGGAACATCTTACAATGTTTTTGTTTGATTTCCTCTTTTCCTGCTAGAATTCTTAAATCTAATGAGTTGTGATGCTTAATGTTCTGTTAAGTGGAAATCCTACATTAGAATGCATGGATTTAATTCTCCAGTGGTTCACCACAATTTTAAATCAACAGAACCTGTATGAAATTTAATCATTTTAACAAGAACACTTTAAAATGCATCGGGGATCTGATCTTAAACCTTTCTACAATAGAAACATAGTTATGCCAGGGTTTAGCAGAGTTAGTTGAGATGAGATTATATCCTTTAAAAACAGAAGTGTATTTAGAGATTTTAAGATGAAACTGTTTTATTGAAAATATTTTGTAAATAAAAATAGAAACCTGCATGCAATCTTATTTTTAGAATGGGCCAGTCTGGGGAGCATGCTTCTAACTCATGATTTTCAAAAGATGGCAGGTAGTGTTTAAGGCTCACTAACATTCCTAGCGAATATACAGTGGAAGTGAAGAACAGATTTGAAGGACTAGATTTAGTAAACAGAGTCCCAGAAGAACTATGGACAGAAGTCCGCGACATTGTTCAGGAGGCGGCAACAAAGTACGTTCCAAAGAAAAAGAAAACCAAGAAGGCAAAATGGTTGTCTGCTGAGACACTGGAAGTAGCCCAAGAAAGGAGGAAAGCAAAAGGAAACAGTGAAAAGGGGAGATATGCCCAGTTAAATGCGCAATTCCAGAGGTTAGCCAGAAGAGATAAGGAACTATTTTTAAATAAGCAATGCATGGAAGTGGAGGAAGACAACAGAATAGGAAGGACAAGAGACCTCTTCCAGAAAATTAGAAACATTGGAGGTAAATTTCAGGCAAAAATTGGTATGATAAGAAACAAAGATGGCAGGGACCTAACAGAAGCTGAAGAGATCAAGAGAAGGTGGCGAGACTATACAGAAGATCTGTATAGGAAGGATAATAATATTGAGGATAGTTATGACGGTGTGGTGAATGAATTAGAACCAGACATCCTGAGGAGTGAGGTTGAATGGGCCTTAAGAAGCATTGCTAACAACAAGGCAGCAGGAGACGACGGGATCCCAGCTGAACTGTTTAAAATCTTAAAAGATGATGCTGTCAAGGTGATGCATGCCATATGCCAGCAAATATGGAAAACACAAGAATGGCCATCAGACTGGAAAAAATCAACTTATATCCCCATACCAAAAAAGGGAAATGCGAAAGACTGCTCAAACTTCCGTACAGTGGCCCTTATTTCTCATGCCAGTAAAGGTAATGCTCAAGATCCTGCAAGGAAGACTCCAGCAATACATGGAGAGAGAGTTGCCAGATGTACAAGCTGGGTTTAGAAAAGGCAGAGGAACGAAAGACCAAATTGCCAATAACCTTTGGATAATGGAGGAAGGCAGGGAGTTTCAGAAAAACATCTATTTCTGTTTTATTGACTATTCTAAAGCCTTTGACTGTGGATCATAATAAATTGTGGCAAGTTCTTGGTGGGATGGGCATACCAAGCCACCTTGTCTCTCTCCTGAGGAATCTGTATAAGGACCAAGTAGCAACAGTAAGAACTGACCATGGAACAACAGACTGGTTCAAGATTGGGAAAGGCGTACGGCAAGGCTTGCATCCTCTCACCCAACCTCTTTAACTTGTATGCAGAACACATCATGGATGTGCGGGGCTGGATGAATGCAAAGCTGGGGTGAAAATTGCTGGAAGAAACATTAACAACCTCAGATATGCAGATGACACCACTCTGATGGCCGAAAGCGAGGAGGAGCTGAGGAGCCTTCTAATCAAGGTGAAAGAAGAAAGCGCAAAAGCCGGGTCGCAGCTAAACGTCAAAAAAACTAAGATTATGGCAACAAGAATGATTGACAACTGGAAAATAGAGGGAGAAACCGTGGAGGCCGTGACAGACTTTGTATTTCTAGGTGCAAAGATTACTGCAGATGCAGACTGTGGCCAGGAAATCAGAAGACGCTTACTTCTTGGGAGGAGAGCAATGTCCAGTCTCGATAAAATAGTAAAGAGTAGAGACATCAGACTGGCAACAAAGATCCGCCTAGTCAAAGCCATGGTATTCCCTGTAGTAACCTACGGATGTGAGAGCTGGACCTTAGGGAAGGCTGAGCGAAGGAAGATCGATGCTTTTGAGCTGTGGTGTTGGAGGAAAGTTCTGAGAGTGTCTTGGACTGCGAGAAGATCCAACCAGTCCATCCTCCAGGAAATAAAGCCCGACTGCTCACTGGAGGGAAAGATACTAGAGACAAAGTTGAAGTACTTTGGCCACATCATGAGGAGACAGGAAAGCCTAGAGAAGACAATTATGATGGGGAAAGTGGAAGGCAAAAGGAAGAGGGGCCGACCAAGGGCAAGATGGATGGATGGCATCCTTGAAGTGACTGGACTGACCTTGAAGGAGCTGGGGGTGGTGACGGCCGACAGGGAGCTCTGGCGTGGGCCGGTCCATGAGGTCACGAAGAGTCGGAGACGACTGAACGAATGAACAACATACTTGAGGATCCTCAGAATTCTGCTCTCCAACTAGTAGAAGTCAGTGTCATTGCTAGAGATGTGGGAGGCAGAACATCATGTAACCTTGCTATAATAATGTCACCATGCAAGTTATTTGTTCAGATCTCCAGCAAACTTGGACTGGAGGCCCACCAGATAGCAGGAAGAGAAAAAAAGTGGAGGAAAGGGAGGAGGGAATCAGGATGCAGCTCTTGACAGATGTAATGTGCACTATGTCCCTTGGCTGGAAAAAAACCTTGGTTACACAAATTTTCTTAATAGGCATGCAGAACTGACAGACAGAAGCAGCTGAAGGTTATTACGGTACATGTGCATTAAGAAAAAAACCCATTAAGTTTAATAGGGCTCCCTTTTTGGTTCTTTTCCATATACAGTGAACCCAGAGTGGTTTACAGACAAGGCACGCAATGCTTTCGTAACCCTTATTAAGGAAAAAAATAGAGTAACAACTATAGAATTAAACAGAATAATTATGGTCACTAAATGCAATGTGCAATACTCTTTGGCTTTATTAGTGAGCAGCAACCACATAGTTAGGCCCCTTGAAGAGCTGTCGTAGGAGGCAAGGAGAGGTTTAAATCCCAGTCCTCTGAATTAGAACAATATACTTTCTGTATACAGTATATACATAGGTTGGCCTCTATAGGAATCACAAAATGATTCAGTACAGATTTCTGTAAAGTTGCTGACTTAATTGTTTTGATTGCTGTGGGATTGCAAATTTGTTTGGCTTCTGTGCCTTTAAGAGCAGCCAGAAATTCAGATTGGTCCCAAAGACATGCACTGAACTGCTACTTGCGCAAAAACTTAGGGGACTTGTAGTTTGGTGAGGCAGCAGGTAATAGAGTTCTATGTTGTGACAATAAGAACAGAAGCAGAAAGTGTCCTTTGAAGCATTGTAGATCCAGATAGAAAAGGGCAAAACACCTTTGGCCAAGATAAAGTAACTGCACATAGCACAGCTTTAAGTACCTTATATGCTTTTGTAGAAGTCTAGAAATTTTAGTCAAAAAGTCAACCCAAAAAATCTGTGTTGAATTCTCCTTGAGTCAATAGGAGTACTGTATCTAAACTTATAAAAAAAAAACTCCACCTCTTTCTCTGAGTAGAGTAACAAAAGGCAAGAATTTGGTCCATCCTGGGAGAACCTAAAAAGAAGCACCAACCCCTTTATTCTCTTCATCACAGAGCTGCATCTGGACTTTTTGATTGCCTTGGTGGCAAAATGGCAGTGCTGGCCAGGAATGGAGGGCTCCTAAAACAGCATTAGTGCTTTTCCCTTTTCCATGGAATGACCCTTGACTTATCCAGGAGTCACATCAAAACATCTAATATTGGTTCCGTCCCATAATCTGTCCTCAATTGACTTCTATGAGTATATAAACAGAAATGTGATCAATCTCTGTGATATCCTCCCAAAAAGCATTGTTAAAATAAAGATAAGGATGGTATAAGCCTAGAACACTTTTTTGTTTAAGCTTATGAGTACTACACATTCTACAAAGTAGAGGGAGATTGCAAAGATACCTTATTATTCACAATTCCTTCTTCAGTCTCTCCAAAAATTTGATCTTCATAAAGGAAGAGGGGCCGACCAAGGGCAAGATGGATGGATGGCATCCTTGAAGTGACTGGACTGACCTTGAAGGAGCTGGGGGTGGTAACGGCCGACAGGGAGCTCTGGCGTAGGCTGGTCCATGAGGTCACGAAGAGTCGGAGACGACTGAACGAATGAACAACAAAAGTGTTTAAGGAGTAAATTCAGGAAACAATTTAGATTATTTAAAATCATGTTTTATCATATTTTTATTTGGTTATTTTCTTCTTTAAAGTAAATGATGTTGAGCAAAGTTAAATCAATGTCATGTCAATGTCCATTTAAAGCAGGGGTCGAAATAGTACAGCCCATAGACTGCATGTGTCCTCCAGGGCCTTCTGTTTTGTTTCTTCTGAATATTAAACATTTTTATTGTTGAAAAAAAATGAGAATCATACCTCCAAGTGGCATGATTGTGGATTTAACTGTTATGTTCTTAGATTATAAGTCAGAAATAGTTTGTTTAGAAAAGTAGGTGGTCACTCATCTACTTTTCTAGGCTTTTAGAAAAATGGATTTGTAGATCTTGGTGTTAATGAAGCATGTTGTCTGTGGCATATAGCTCTTTTCTCAGTCTCTAAACCACAGCAAACTGTCTTGAGTTAGTTCTGCTAGCGATGTGTGCAGACAGTCTGTGGAGCAATCTGAAGCCATAATTACTTCAAAGCCAGAAGGGAGATAAGGCATCATTACTTTCTTGTACTGAGAGTGAAGGAAGAGATTACCTAGAGGAGAAGAAGGCGGCTCATCATGTTATAGAAGATGTAAAATAAAGACCTTTTCTGGGATGTCATAGCTATAAATCCTTCTATGCCATATATATTGGTTAGGATTTTCCATTGCTTAATTGAAAAAGGGCAAACATGTGGAACAGAACAACCATTTCAGCCACTGAAAATTACTATATTAGCCACAAAACAAAAGCTTTGTTTAAAAGAAAGCTGTTCATTTGACATTATAAAGGTTCCAGAGCCTATGCATATTTAATATATAGCTTGCTGTTATGCAGAAACAGACATATCTAAACCTACTGATATCAATGGGGTTAAACAAGCTTAATTCTCTACTGATTCCAGGCATAATCATATTTGAATTCTTATTCCTTAAGGTCCAGAATATCTCTCAACCTTGTTGTTTATTTATTTGTATTTTTACCCTGTTGCTTAGCTCCAAAAATGCTGTCACATAATCATTGAAAAAATAAAAATAACTCAGTCACTGAATGTGGCCTCACAATCTAAAAATGAAGCAACCCAAAAGGAAAACAGTGTGGGGGAGTTAAGTACTGCTTAGGGGTTGGAAGCCCAGATCATCTCTTTCCATTACAGCCGCCTGGAAAGGAGGATGTGATCATTGTGGATGTAATCCTTCACCAGGACTAGTGAAATGGCAGGCCCTTTTTCATTTATATCCCAGTTTTAGTCCAGAAATAGAACTCAATAAATCTTACAAATAGTTAAAACCAAGTGATTAAATCCGGAGTAAACAAAACATGTACAATATCAGTAAAATATAAATACAAAAGTAATGTAAAAACAATTATTGTATATATAAGCCAAGTTTTTCTGCCCCCTTTTTAGGCTGAAAAGCCCCCCTTCTTTCAGCCCCATGCCTTCCTGCCTCACCTCTCTGCACAGCAACCCAGCTCGCCTTCCTTTCCTCCCCTCTCATGCAGCGCGCACCTTCCTCTCCTCTTTTCTCACGCAGTGCGCACCTTCCTCTCCTCCTCTCAGCGCAGCACACCTTCCTCTCAGTGCAGCACGCACCTTCATCTTCTCCTCTCTTGGCACCAGTTTTTCCCATTTTTCTTTATTCATATACACACAGCATTTTCCCCAAAATGTATAGTTAAAGTAAACTATGATGATTATTGGAAGAATACGTAAGCACCTTTACATTGTAGAAGGTTAGAATAATGATTTAATCAGAGTTGGACAGTCTAATCTTAAATTACAGTTTTATGTAAATATTCAAAACATTTAACCTACTGGTGCCTAAATGTAATTTCATTGGTATCTATTTTTATTTTGAAATTTACCAGTAGCTGCTGCATTTCTCATGCTCGGCTTATAAACAAGTCAATAAGTTTTCCCAGTTTTTTGTGGTAAAATTAGGTGCCTCGATTTATATTCAGGTCGCCGTATATGGTACCATTTTTGGGGCACTTGCATTCTTATATAAATATCTGTATTATGGCAGTTTTAAGAACATAATTGCCCTGCTGATTGCAAAAGTCCATATTGGCTAGAAAGCTGCAGTCTACAAGTAGGGGATATTTTCTAGTAAGCAGTATTAACAGGCGTGTCCTCTGCTTCTGGAGATGGCATTCAACCATTGATAGCTTTTTTCTCCATTAGATAGTCTAATGCCCTTTTTAAAATGTCATAGCTCATTGCTAGTACCAGAGCTCGTTGGAGAAAATTCCACATTATGACATTATGCTGACTGAATACTTATCCTGTATCCTTGAATACACTAGGGTAGATTATTTTCCAAGAAGATTAGTATAAACCAAATATGAGGAACTTGAATCCTCTAGACCAATATTATTAAAAGTGGTGGTCTGTCGCTGAACCCTGAACCATCCGCAGCAGCTTCCTGGAAAAATAAACAGTCTCAGCTAATGCTAAAATGTAGTGGCAGTCTTTGGTAGACTGGGGGCAAATTACTTGTCTGCCATCTCTAGTAGCCTGATAAGCACTGCTATACATGATATTGAACTCCAGTGCCCATCATCCCTGAATATTGGTTATTCTGGGTGGGAATGATATAAATTTGAGCCCAAGAGCATTTGTAGTTTTCTCATCCTTGACTTAAGCTGTTTCCAGGTTTCAGAAACAAGATTTGATAAAATATAAAATTTAAAGAGATTGTTCAAAAGTTCATTCTCTGTGCACAACTGATTTTAGAAAATAGTTTTAATTTGTATTGCTGCAGTTGGCCAGAGCATAAATAGGCATTCAGTTTTCATGCCATCAGATTTCACCACTGGATGTCACTGTTGACTCAGATTTAATATCTAAATGGTATCACAAGAAAAAAGTTTGCAGAAGATTACCAGACTTTTGAGGAGTCTGTTTTCCTCTCAAGCTTTCAGCCATATCACATTTTCTCAATATATTTACATGTAGGTACAGTTATTTGTCTCATTGGCAAATAAAGCAAATTCCTGTGCCAGCCCTGGCAGCTCCAGATTGTCTTGTGGTGACTTGGGTGACTAACAGACAGAAACACCTGCGTTTTGTGAAAAATGAACTTTATCCCTACTGGTCTGTGCATGGAGTGGTAGAATGGTTCTGGGTGAAAGTAAGTTGGAGGATGTTTGTTTTTCCATTTGCAATTGGTTATGCTTTATTTTTGGTTCTTAACACCTCTTCATTAATCTCTTCATGTAATCAAATATCCATTTTATATATAGCTATTTTTCTTTCATATTTATTTTGACTTGACTTTTGACAGATCTTACCTATTTTCCTTTATGAACAAGTTAAAATTAGGAATGCCACCTAAATTAAAGAATCATTACAGTGAAATACATTAGAATGGATCAGGCCTCTGGGTTGCAGGATTTGTTTTCTTTTTTAAAACTCGGAGATCCATTAGTTGGAACCAGGTTCCAATAGCAACTTAGGCAAGCAGATATATGCTAAGAATTAAGGAACATTGTGCCATGTAATGCAAGTTTTGCCCGAGAATTTGTGATCAATCCCAGTTCACAAAGAATTTTGCATAAAACTCCAACCATTATTTTTCTCAAAGGTGGTCTAGTACAATGGACACAGCTATTGTGGTCTAATGGAGGCACAAATCCTTGTCTATTGAAAAACAACCAAATATATTATGTCACTATGTCCTGATTTAACTTTTTCCCACCCCTGCTTTACCTACCTACTTGGAAATACATTTCACTGAATTCTGTGACAATTACCAGGTTGCAGCCTTAATCCATGACTTCTCATTTATTTAAACATATACTTCTGCATATGTCTAAAAAGAGGAAGTATTATTTCTTTATTTTGGAGGATGTATAAAATTTCATAGCAGTCTCTTCTGAGTGAAAAGGAGTAATTAATGCCTGTTCAAAGATGACACATACCATCCACAGCTTTTGAAAAAAACTTTGAAATACTATTTCATTATCAGGATAATTTTTAAAAACTTATCGAAAGAATATTGTTCTAAATTTAAATCAGCCTTGGGTCCCAAATTAGCAAGACAGCATGATAAAAATTATAAAAACAATCTGCTTAACCATAAAGTATATTCAAGGAAGCAGTTGATACCTATCAGTCAGTCTGTGACTGGTTTGTAGTGCATCTTCAAGAGTCTCTGACTTATTTCACTTAAGTCCTCGAAGAAATCCCTGCATATATTCTCTGTTTTTCTACTTGCCCTGTTCCCATAGATTTTACCATGAATGGATATAAATTGATGGGAAGATCTGCTGGGATTTCTTTTCTTCCATTTACTTTCGGTTGCTTTCCATTCATTTTCTGTCCATGCTGAAGATAAATGTGCTTCCAGTCATGCAGTTTTCAGTGCTCTATGTTTTCTTTTCCATGGCTTGATTATTTTCCTTCATTGCACCCACTATATTTTGTTCTTATTAAATCTTTATTGCTGGCCAGAGCCATGGGGATAAACATTTGCCATCCCCCAAACCTTATGTCAAGCCTGCATTTTTAAAAAATAGCTCTTTAAACTCTGGTAATTTTAATTAAATACTATTGAATTGGGTATTATCACTCCCACTAATTGTGATGGTTTTATTTTTTTTTCTTAATTTTGAAGGCTACAGATACACCTGGGAAAAGGCCTGTGGAAGTCTTTATGCTTTGTTTCTGAGTAAATGTGGCTCGATAAATATCTGTATAATCTAGATATACTTACTGTAGATACATAACATTGATTTTCCATTCCTTTCTATCAGATTACAAGGTCTGGAGAGTTTGTATTTCCATTAGATTCTTTTCACAAGAAGCCTTATGAGGTTCTTATACTGGGTCGAGTCCAGGGAAGTACAGATAGGCCATTAAGGTACGAGTTCATTGATTTCTCTATATTGTTAATAGGCTTTATTATTATATGGTGCTCATTAGGAATTCTCAGCTGAAGTTACAAACAAGCTTCAAAGAGTGTGAAATGGCCTTTCTTAACAACATAATTCGAAGACTGAAGTATACTTGTGCTCCAGCCTCTATAAAACACTGGCTAGTTGTCAAACACTCCTGTCTTTTTATTTCAATTGTGCTTTAGCTTCCTGACTTATTTGCTTGTTTCCTCATGATGCTGCAAAATTCAGGGTTTTTTTCTCTTCAAAATATGACTTTTGGCAAGTCTTGTGAGCAGATGCCTTTAACTGATGGGCCAATTAGCACTAAATAGTTGGGTGGGATGTCATTGCCAGGCCAAGATCATTAGATGCCTTGAGTGTTCTTTTAATTGGAAAGCAAGAGGGAGGAGGGGAGACACTGACATATTTGGTTCCCTTACCTTTTCAAATCTTTGTGAACATAAGAGCTGGACTTCAAATAGCCATTTAAGCTGATAGGAAGATCTTACTCTATTCTGGTGAATATTTCACTATTTATTCTCCATGAGCATGCAGTCTACATACCATATCACCACCAGCTTTGCAACTCCACATTTTTCCATTTTATTTGAGGAAGGGACACTGCTAACTTTACTATAGAAGTAGCCGCAACAGCAACAACCATCTAACAAGATTAAATTCTGTTTAGATTCATATAAGTTATTTCACAGTCCTTTGGCTCCTGGCCAGGATTGGTTGTTTGATGAGGCAGGAAATTGGTGGTTTAGTAAAGCTACTTGGTTTAATGTGGAAGTGGATGAAATACCATGGAGTGAGATGAGAAAAGATCACTGCAGCAAAACAGGCACTCGCCTGGTGCTGTTATATAAACTGGTTAACTTTTATACCTTCTTCATTTAGCTAAGCAAAACCCACAACTATTTCTTCCCTGTGTTATCTCCTGTTAGCCCTGCGGGGCTGTTGGTAGTTGCTGCCAGATGAATCTTCTGTTCCTCTGAATTAAATATAGATCTGTTTGTTAAAAGCAGGCAATATTCTACAGTTGAAACACATATTGGTTGTAGTGTATTTGTATTTTTCCTGTTGTCTTGTTTCTTTATTGGCTTTGCTTTTGCAAAAGCTTAAGAAATTTCATAAGCTGCCCTTTATCTTTCAAGAAAACAAATATACTTAACATTTAGATATTTAGCTTCCTTGTGACTTCTGGTCCAGTGTGACAGTGAAGTAATGTTTTCTTTCAGCATCATCATTTTAATCTTGTTGTTTTTTTTGTTGGAGGTTAGGGGCAGAAAATTGACCTATGGAAGTATAAGTATTTTATTATGGTATTTGTGTTTCTTAGTAGAGGCTCTCACATTTTTTTTTTTATTTATGCTACAGGATTTCAGAAGATATAGTGCTTCCAGCAATTCCAGATCAAAAATTAATTGTCAGTGTGCCTTGCACCCTTCACTCACATAAGCCTCCTCTTGCAGGTATGTTCTTCAAATAGCTCTGTAAACCAGCATATTTTTGTAGAAGTGGATACTTTCTGTAATGGATAACATGGAAGTATAGGGGTTAGGTTCTTGAGTATTTTTGTTCATTTATCTTTATGTTTCTTATTGAGAGGAACTTGCCTCTGCCATTAGAGGAAACTTGCTACAGAGTTGAATTTGCATTTCAATCTTCCCTAGCTGGATTACATGGATCGCAGAGGCTATCTAGTTCACTGCTTTATGCTTCCCAGTTGCTATAGCTACTTTAAAAAGGAGTTTGATGTTCAAGAATCAATTGACTGGAAGATCATTACCAGTATGTTTTCTGGGAAAACACATTTCAATAGTGTTTCAGCTATAGACTTAAGCATGTTGTTTACAGTTACAGAAATACCGACAGGTAGCATTTGATTAAGATGCTGATCCAGACCAGTATTTCAATATGGAGATTAGTTTTTAGAAGACTATCACTTCAGTCATGATGAATAAGTTTAGATTGAACAGAGACATTGCTTATTGTGCTCTCATGTTATTGGGCAGAAGGAGCGGCAGTTCCTTGAAGTATAAATATGAAGAGGTAGGTCAGAATGGCAAATAAAGGAGTGGAAAAATATTTGAAAAATATTTCAGAAATGGTTGAAAAATGTTTTTGAATTTGAGAATCACTGATGAGATTGACAATAATCTTTGCAATTCAGGACTCTGTCCAAAATTCACACCATGTTGATTAACATAAAAAAACATTTTCTGTGTAGGAAACAGCATTTTCTGTGGAAGAAATGATATTTATGCAGAAAAATAGTTTTACCAGTAATTGTGTCTTGCAGTGTCATCAGACAGTGACGAGGACTATGTTACTGAACTCCAACTTGTATCATGTCCAACAGTGACACACTGGTTGGAATTGAGAGAAGTTGAAAGTTCAAGAACATCATGGGGCCCAAAGATTTCCCACCTCTAATTTGAAATGTTATAAGCTGTACATCAGCACCCCTTTTAAATAGCATACTATTTTAAATATAATAGAACTTTGTAGAAATATAAGAGTATGGGAAGGGAGAGAAATACAGAATCAAGATTTTTTATTCCTACAGTTAAAATTGCTGGAAGAAACATTAACAACCTTAGATATGCAGATGATACCACTTTGATGGCTGAAAGCGAGGTGGAGTTGAGAAGCCTTATAACCAAGGTGAAAGAAGAAAGTGCAAAAGCTGGGTTGCAGTTAAACATTAAAAAGAAACAAGATGAAGGCAACCAGACTGATTGATAACTGGCAAATTGAGGGAGAAAACATGGAGGCAGTGACAGACTTTGTATTTTTAGGTGCAAAGATTACAGTAGATGTAGATTGCAGCCAGGAAATCAGAAGATGTTTACTTCTTGAGAGGAGAGCAACGACCAATCTCGATAAAATAGTGAAGAGTAGAGACATTACACTGGCAACGAAGATCCGCATAGTTAAAGCAATAGTATTCCCCATAGTAATCTATGGCTGTGAGAGGTGGACCAAAGGAGGACTGAGCAAACGAAAATAGATGCTTTTGAACTGTGGTGTTGGAGGAAAATTCTGAGAGTGCCTTGGACCATGAAAAGATCCAACCAGTCCATACTTCAAGAAATAAAGCCCAACTGCTCATTGGAGGGAAGGATATTAGAGGCAGAGATGAAGTACTTTGGCCACATAATGAGAAGATAGGAGAGCTTGGAGAAGAAAGATAATGATGCTGGGGAAAATGTAAGGAAAAAGGAAGAGGGTCCGACCAAAGACAAGATGGATAGATGGTATCCTTGCAGTGATTGGCTTGACCTTGAAGGAGCTGGGGGTGGCGACGGCTGACAGGGAGATCTGGCATGGCCTGGTCCATGAAGTCACGAAGATGAATAAACAAAAAAAAAAACCCATACAGATGACCTTGAAAAGAACAGCCTCAGTTATGCTTTCTTATCCAGTGTACGTAGTCATGAGACATCTTTTCAGTTATTTCTTTTAAGAACAAGATCTTTTTGAGCTGCAGCTTTTGAAGAAAGTGAACAAATAGAGGATAATGCACAAAATATCATAATGTCTACAGTCTAGCATAAAAATATATCCAAAAGAACAAGGAAAGTTGAAAAGAAACTGTCAAACTGTTGAGGGAAAGAAGTGTCTTTCATAAGCTGAAATTATTGTGGTTGCATTTCTATACTTAAGCCATAACTAACTGTTTAGAACAAACTTCATGACTGTCAAGGTTATAAAAGAGGAACTGGAGGCAAAATAAAAACAACTAAGCAAAGCAAAATATTGTTAATGGAGAAACACTATGATGATTACTGAATTAGCAAGATTAGATTACATCCACAAGAACTGGGCTTATGTGCCTTCCTCTCTCTCTCTTTTAAAAAGAACTGACCATTTTGAAAATTTAATGAGCACAATCTTTGTATTATTGGAAAAAGAAGTGGATGGGTGCAATAGTTTCCTTTCACAGTCCTTATATCAAAATCTGGCAGATTTGTGAATTTGAATGAAAGAAAGCTGTTTTAATGGGTGTTTCGAAACTATAGAGAAAATTAGGCAACAATGTTAAAACCAATAAACTCCAGAGTGGAGTATGTGAGTATCTAGTTCAAAATCATGCCTGTTCCTATAAAAAGTATGTGTCATCATAATACACACACACACATCAGCACTACTTTGCAACTATAACAAGAAATAAAGCGTTCAGGGAAAATGATATCATTGTGTGTGTGCATATATATTTCTATTTCTATTTCCTATTAGGTGATCCCTCATTGTCCGAGTATGATGGTCCTCCAAGGGTTGTGTTTTGGTAGGGGTCTGTAGGTGACTGTAGAGCCCTATTCTTAACCTGCATGTTCTTCCACAGCGAGGGCATCAGTTTCCAGGTGGAAGGCGGTCCCAGTCAGGGTTGGCTTGACACGCCTTCCTCTTGGTACGTTTCTCCCCTTTGCCCTTCATTTGTGCCTCTTCCAATTCCATAGCACTGTTGGTCACGGCTGACCTCCAATTAGAGAACTCAAGGGCCAGGGCTTCTTAGTTCTTGGTTTCTATGCCACAGTTTTAAAAGTTATATTTAAGCCCATCTTTAAATCTCTTTTCCTGTCCACCAACATTCCATTTTCTGTTCTTGAGTTGGGAATAGAGTAACTGCTTTGGGAGACGATGATTGGGCATTCAGACAATGTGGCCAGCCCAGCAGAGTTGATGATGTAGGAGCATCGCTTCAATGCTAGTGATCTTTGCTTCTTCCAGCACGCTGATATTTGTCCACCTGCCTTCCCAAGAATTTTGCCAGTAGAGGGAAGTGGTTCCAAATTCCATCCCTACTTTGAACAATACATCAAGGGGCAAAAAGTTGGAATCAAGCACAGGAAATCCCATTCAGCTTCATACATTCATACTTTGTTTTTAAAAAGCTACCAGCATAATAATATTAGCATTTCCCCCTGCATGCTTTATTTCTTTCTACAGTTGCAAAGTAGTGCTGATGTGCATGTAGGCATTTAATGACTGATTATAACAATTTATTTCTCTGCAATAAGAGGAATTTGCAAATTAAAGTAAGTCATCAAAAAGAGATGTTTTGTTTCCTGCAGTGCACTTAACTCTGAACTCATTACTCCGGAAGTTTCTAATGATACACGTTCTGTGTTTAATGCTCACAATTTTGATGTGTCATTCTTACTGTATTTAAGCTATTCTCTGTAAATATGGAAATCAAAATTCAGTTAAGATTACAGCAGTTTTGTCCCCTGCTGGTGCTATTTCATGTCAGAAAAAGAAAACACACTTTGCATAGAAACATGTAGCTTGGGATTATACTTCATATATCTCATGAAGTGGATGATGGCCTGTGGAAGCTCCTGTCATAATGAATTTGTCAGTCTTTTATCAAAATTTTAGTGGTGCTTTTATCTTTGGGACTCTTTGTAAAGTTTCTAGCCCTAACTCAGCAGACAGAGACACCTGGCATTGAGTGGCATTGGTGCTTTCCCTTCTCTTACAGGATGACTCTTGACGTATCCATGGGTCATATCAAGATCCATAATTTTGGCCCTTCAAAAGATGCAAATTGATCTACAATATAGTCTTAAATGTGTCCTTTAGGAATGTTGCCCATAATACAGAGTAAAAAAGGATGACTTACTTTACAAAAATATTCTCAACCTTGTTATTTCTCTATTCTTTGCTTGCCTTGTTAAATAGCAATATAGAAACTGTGTGGTACTTTGTGTATATGAACGGCTGTTTGTTTTTTCAATGGAAGGAATCACAGCAGTATGTAAGAAACATCTGGCTGCTCTGCATAACCTGCCACTAGTTCTCTTTCAGTCTTTCTCTTTCTCTCTTCACCTCTGACTTTCATTTCAAAAGTCTAGCAGGCCTGTAGAGCTTGAAGAGTTGGAACAACATGAGAAATAGCAGCATCTCAGAACAAGGGTGGGCAGCTACCTCTGAAGTTATTATGTGCAAGTTGTTCTAAGGCTGCTAAGACTTGTGCAAATGCTACATTTTATTAAATTGTCTAGCCTTCCTGCTTAAGAGATTCCCCTTTCCAGCACAAGATAAATGAGCAATAGGCAATAGCTTGGTAGCAAGGAAGACTAAACATATTGGTTTTTTACTGATGAAAGTGTCAACATTTGGGTGATGAAAAAGCAACATTTTTTCAAGTATGTGGACATAGTAGTAGCAGTGTTGAAACCAACAGAACTTTTAGATGTTCTTCTAGTAGGGAAAAAAAATGCAAGACTGAATATAGGGCTCTTTTCCCACCTCCTAGTAATTCCCTGGATAAGTCTGAAGTTGGCAACCACAGTTGTATTATTTTGCACATATATTTCTAACTCATTTTATGTTTACCACATGCATTTCTTGTTAAGCTTTCTTGCAGTGATGCAGCAACCGATAGGCAAAGGTGTTTAGAATAAAAGGTCATATCTAACATTTGTAGGGTGGCACTAATTTACATGCTGAACAAAATTTAATTGGAGCCTTGTAAACAGTGGGTAGGCATGCTAAGTTTGAGCGAAAGCATTACAGTTTTGAAATAGTTGAATTTCTATGTAAACCAAAATAATTTTTGGATTTCAAAAGACATGCATTTTTATATATATAAACAATGGGATATCTTGGAGATGGGGTGAAAGCCATTTATGTTGTGTATAAACATTTTATACGCAATGTTTTAAATACTTTTGTGCATGCAGCAAAAGCATTTAAAAGTAACTGAGCAGCAAAAAAGCAAAGGTGTCACCATATCAGCCACTCATGGACAATTTCATATTTTGGAGTTTTCCCAGTTCTGGATAAAGAATGCTCAACTTATATTGTTCGATAAGAAATTAATTATTCTTTCAAGCTCTGAAGTCCATTTCTTAAAACTCTCATGATTTGCACAACGGCATATTTCGAACATTCTAGGAAGCAGAAGTCTATGAAGGAAGTATTGCCATATGCTGAATGAATGGCAGTCTTCACTGATAGCAAGAAATAAACTATAACTTTGTGGTGACATGTCCAATACCTCTAAGACTGAAAGTCTGAAGTTGTTGTCTTGAACACAGTGCCAGATAGATTCCCATTTAAGGGAGTGGTACTTCTTTTCTGAGTAAGCATCCATGGGCCGTAAGCATTATTTACAGTAAAGTCAGTTGGTACCTGACTTCTTGGCACTGTCATTTTTAAGCATGTGGCTTATTTGTTCTATGCAAAAGTTATGCAGGTTTGCACTTCATCCCATGTCCTCTTCCCTTGGTTTCAGTTCTGCACTTAGCCCATTCCCTTGTCCTATTGTTTATAGCCTGGCCATGTTTACAGTAGCTTACCTTCATTGGTTGATGAGTGCTGTTTTAATTGAGTTGTTGTTTCTATGTCTATATGTTTTATTATTATGTTTTATTTTATGTACTGTTTTAGGCACATTGTTCTGTGTGTAAGCTGCCCCGAGCCCCTTTGGTAAGATGGTGGCAAGATACAACAATAACCTTGTTGTTGTTGTTGTTGTTATTATTAAAACATTATTTAATTATAACTGTCCACAAATTTACTAATCCTCATTAAGAGATGTTATGATGACAATACTGAGAACTCAAAAGGTCATCTGTGGTCAGGGCTGGAGGTGCTGAAATTCTCATTCCCTGGCTCCAAAAACATTCCAATAAATCAGAGTGACTGAAAGCTTTGACGTTATGTTCATACTCTCAAGATAATTTTTTCATATCCTTTTCAGACTATAAATAGTATAACTAGCTGATGAAATCCTTGAAATTAATTTATTGACTCTTCTTTTTTAATGAAATATTTGGGTTTTTTCTCATTTTCCAGTAGCTTAGAGGAAATTGATTTTTGAAACAACAACACTTTCTATTTCTTTGCAACTATATTCATTGTTAATATTTTCTCTTTCTCCTCCCTCCCTTCCTTTCAGATGTTTTGAAAGAATATGCGAAGCCAGAGGTCAACTGTTTGGAACTGTTTGCTCGGAATTTGCAGCCAGGGTGGACCAGTTGGGGCAATGAAGTTCTCAAATTTCAGCATATAGATTACTTCACTGCTTTGCAGGATAAGACTGACTAATTGTGCATAAATTAATCTTTGGATTGTGGGGGGGGGGCATGTTTATCTTCCATGACTTTATCTTTTTAATTACTGCTTCATTTGGAAAATATTATGAAAGAACCAGAAATTAGCATGATACTTTTGAACATTTGTGTTACCTTCAGATATTTTCTGCATCTTGATCCTTATATCTCTTCTCCTTGACATTTGACGTCCTTGCGTGGAAACCAGCTATTTCAAGTCATCACGTGGAAACCACTGCATAAATCCTCAGAAATGGATCATGTCCTCTGAAATACATTGCTTATCTGTGAATTAGAGCATATCATGTATGGATTTTTCCATAGAGTGGTCATAAAATAATTTGTAGAGGAATGTGAATGTAAATTAGATGTGGATTTATATGATGAATAATAATGTTTTAAATGTATTTTATTTTAATGTTTTGTCTTTTGTACAGCGTTGTTTATAATATGTTTTTGTATGCTATCGACATCAAATTGCTGCCATTGTAAGCTACCCTGAGTCCCCCTTTGGGGGTTGAGAAGGACAGCGTAGAAATGTTGGAAATAAATAAATGTTGGAAATATTTTTGAATGTGTAAGCCATGTTTAAATATGATGTACTGATACCTTCTTACTAACTCTTAGCTGCATTCTAAATGTTCTGAAAGGTATTGCACATGTATATGTTTGAATAATAACTATGTACAGTGGCCCAGGACAGCTGGTGGTGAACCACAAGACAGACAGTGCCATGTACAGTCTTGGAGAGAAAGCTACCCATGTACTGAGCAACCACAAAATCCAGTCTGTGCTGTACACATTATTCTAAATTCAGTATTTGAAGTTACACAGGCAATTTTAACCTCCAAATTACAAACAGTATATTATATCTGTTCATTTGTAATACCTAGGGTGTACTCAGAATTGGAAGTTGCATCACTGCCCTTTCAGAAGTCTACTTTTGTCATTAGTCTCACTATCACATTATTCTATCTGCAAACGTTATGTTGGGAGTTGTTGCTTATAAGATATCAAATAATTGCTTACTACTTTACAAGGATTTCAAAGTATCTGAAAAAAAGATTATGACTAATTTAACTAATGTCAGTCATGAGACTGTCACATTGAAAACAATAGTCATAAAAATTAGGTTTCTTAGTTGCAATGGGATATCATCATGATTAAATCCAACTGGATTTATATTCAGACGAACACTTATATTTGAATAATCTTTTCCTTGCTAATACACAGGAGTTTAATTTCAGAGTGTATGTTTTTCTGATGTTTGCGTGTATGTTGTTGTTTTTTTAAAGATTTTTACAATGGTTACTCCTGTAATTAAATTATTTTTCAAAATGATAAACTATGTATGTTCTCTCCCCTCAGGGTTTTCTTTAAAAATGCTCTAATTAAAATTGCCATGTGTTTGCATGTGCAACTGAAAGACCAGAGATATTTGAAGAAACAACCATTATTTAACAGAGTGCAGAATAAATCTTGCTGTGCTACAAATTAGATAAACTCTGTATTGCCTGGTGTGCTGTTAAATTTTTAAATAAGCCTTGGATGCTCACAAATAGACTTTTTTGAAAAAAAAACTTTAATATTAAAAAAATCCATTTCAAAAATATTTTCTCTTGATAAATTATTTATAAGCCTCTTGTTTTTTCTAGTTGCATGTTTGATTTAAAGTGGGGTTTTCTCCACTTTCCTCCTGTTTTGTTCTGTTAGAATAACAAAGCAAAAATAATGCATTTTTCATTTTGTTTAGGTTCTCAACCACCTTCTCCCACTAAATAGAAAGAAATTGTCTGCTGAACATGTCCTTGAAGAAGTGAATCCCACTGAATGAAGTGGTGACTATTGCATTTGTAGGCAGCTACTTTCTTCCCTTGGCAGCCTGAATATATGCCATTATAGTCACCATTCTTTGATCATCACCCAATACTACATTACTAATTTAAGAGCTACACTTGATCAAACTGTCTGTTCACATAGTGAGCAATCCGTTTCCTATGAGAAGCAACTATTAGGACACAAGTGCAATTGCATCCTTCATCTTGGGTTTTCCATCAACTGATGTTAAAGCAACAGTTTTCCTCTGATACTGAAGGTGATAATAGCCAACCAGATGAGTATCCTTCAAAGTCCATGAATTTATCCAGCCCCTGTGTAAAGCCATTAAAGTCAGCAGTCATAACTATATCTTTTAGCAGTGATTCCCACAGTTTATGTGTTGATAACACAGCATGAAAGAATGCTCCCCTTTTCTGTCCTGGTTCTCCCACCATTCAGTTTCAGTGGCTAATCTCAGATTCCAAGATTACGAAAGATGACACCTTTTCCCATACTGTACATAAATTTAAGCATGTCTGTTATGGCACGTTTTGTAATTCCTTGAAACGTAACAATTCCTGAAAAGGGGGATAAGAAGCAGAAGACAACTGTGGCACAAGCCAGTAAAGGTGGTCCCAGTGGTGATCGGCACACAGGGTGCAGTGCCTAAACATCTTGGCCTGCACTTAAACACAATCGGTGCTGACAAGATTACCATCTGCCAGCTGCAAAAGGCCACCTTACTGGGATCTGCATGCATTATTCGCCGACACATCACACAGTCCTAGACACTTGGGAAGTGTCCGATGTGTGATCCAATTCAACAGCCAGCAGAGTGTCTGCTGTGGACTCATCTTGTGGTGTTTCAAATAGTAATAATAATAATCTTTATTCTTGTACCCAGCCTCCATCTCCCCGAGGGGACTTGGGGTGGCTTACAGATGGCACAAGTGCCTAAAACAGTCTCTTGATTATTCTAGTGATTTTTTTCTGCACCTTTTCTCGTTCTGCAATATCCTTTTATACATAGTGACCAGACTTGGGCAGTGTATTTCAGATGTGGTATTGATTTGTATAAAAGCACAATGGCATTGGTAGTTTCATTTTTCAGTTTGTTTTCAAATGTCATTCAACATGGAATTTGGTTTGGTTTTTTTTTGCCCCCCTCCCCCCAGGAATCCATAGATTGGATAGACATTTTCATCAAGCGACCTACTGTAATGGCCAGCTCAGATCCTATCATGAAGTTGAGATTTTGGGGGCTCAGGAAGAATCACTTTATGCTATTATTTGCCATTTTACTGCTTGTTCTCCCTTTATAGAAAGATCCTTTGGGAGCTTCTTGCAATCCATTTTGTTCTCACTGCTCTAAATAATTTAGTGTTGTCAGGAAACTTGGGCACCTCAGTACTCATCCCTAACTCCAAAATGTTTACAAGCAAGTTAAAATGCAATGGTCCCCTGATAGATCCCTGAAGGACCCCACCGTCCACATCCCTTTTTTGTGAGAACCGACCATGCATTCTGCTAATGAGCAACTTAATGGCTCTCTGTTCATGCTTCTGGAAGTTATGGCACCAACCTGCATATGTGAGGACATTTGTTTTATTTTGCATTCTTCCATACCTTTTTAATGTAATGCACATTGTAGGCTTGTAGTAGATGGAAAATTCTTGCTTGTCATAACTCTGCATCTTAGTTCTGTGCATGTTTATCTAAATGTAGATCCCATCAATTAAATGGAACTTTTTCTCATGAGTGTGTTAGATGAGGTTGCTCTTAGAGCCACAACTTGCTTCTGGCAATTCTGTAATAAATCCGTACATTTTCTTTAATATTCTATCCCTCTCTCAAATACTTCTGGATCATCCTGTTGTACTTATAATAATTTTTCTCACACTATATTTTTCCTAAATTCTTTGAAAGGAAAAAAGTATTCTGTCAAACCAAAAGGTTTTGAAACTGCAAGGTCTTATGAAAAACTGTGTTTGCATCCATTTCAATTTTAGTGAGAGCCATGTTCTTTTGGCATTGTTTTGGACAGCACGTCATCATAGAAATTAATGCTGAAGCCTCAGAAGTCCAAATAGGATGAGTGCTGTTAAAAGTTGCACCCCCTCCCCAAAATCCCACTGCTTACAGTGGGTGATCTGTTTACTCAGTGTAGAAAAATTTCCACTAAGCAATTTACTAAGATGTCACTTCCTCACTTCATAAATAAGAAGATTAAATAAGAAAATTATGGAGATCGTGTTAAAAAGTGGAGAATTTTTAACAGCTTCCCAAATGTAGAACTTCACCCACTGTAAATAATCTTTTTGTTTACTAGAAGTCCCCAGCATGACATAAGTTAACAATTCCTTCCCCTGATTCTCTTTCCTTCCATCTGCCATCCTGTGCAATCATCTTCTACTCACTCCAACCAAATGTAGTTATCTTTCCCATGGAGCTCAGTGCTCTTTCTACTTACTCAACCAAGTGCCCTTTCTCTCGCTTCATCCATTTAGATGAAAAGAAAATTGTAGGGAAGGGAATCATTCAGAACCCCCATCCCAGTGCTCTTTTTGTTTTCCGACTTGTCTTTATCAATTGTTTTCCTTTCTGGTTTTATGCTACTTCAGCCTGTTTGTCAGTTCATGGCTCTATCTGGAATGGGACAGTATGGTTAATCATCCCCTTCAATCTGTGCTACATACAATGATTTATTTTTTGATTATTATATTAGAAAATTAAAAATATGATGGCAGCCCTTATTTAAAGAATATAATTTTGTGGAACCCTTTGAAAAATTATGTGACGTAGGCAGAACATGTGCACAAGAAAAGTACACTTTTGTTAGTTCGAGACCTGCCATGACTTACCATTATCATAATCATACAAGACTCTTAATGGTAGAGAGGGGCTGACTGTGTACTAAGACGCTCCTAGAAGAGTTAAATGACATTTACTTTTATGGCCTACTAGTCGTCCCCTACCACACGTTGCTGTGGCCCAGTCGGTGTATATGTACTTTGTGTGTGTATATATTTGTGTATATGTGTGTGTGTGTGTGTGTGTGTGTGTATATATATATATATATATGGTTTTTAGGGCTGGGCGGTTTCGTTCGTTAATTTCATAATTCGTTATTAATTCGTTATTTTTTTTATAACGAAGCGATATTGAACCATTCAGGAGCAACTTAAAATCGAAACGAATTTTTAAAATTTATTTCGTAATTGTTTCGAAATTGTTTCGTTATTATTTCGTTATTATTTCCGTATGTCTGGTGCAAGTTTTATAGTTGTTGTTTGTTTTATCAGTGATAAAAAAAATAAATTATCACACCAACAGTCAACAACAGAGGGAGAGGGAAGCTTCAGAAGTTCCCCCTGTCCCATTTGGAGGGTTTTTTAGCGTATTGCGCAATCGCGTCCGCCATTAACGAATCGATTCGTTATTGTTTCGAAATTGTTTCGTAATTTCCGAAATTTCGTAAATATTGAACTTTTTTAAAGAAAAATTTTGGAATTCTTTTAAATAACGAAACGCAAAAACCGCCTAAAAACGAATCGAGTTTAGAAACAAATTTTTCCGTGGTTGGACAGCCCTAATGGTTTTACACATGTGCTGTAATATATTTTTTAATTTTTGGCTTTTTAAGTCTCTTCTGCTGTGCTTCTCAGTGTTTTTATGAGTGATGGTCACTCGTTGGCCTGATAGGTGTACTGTGTCCAAATTTGGTGTCAATTTGTCCAGTGGTTTTTGTGT